GCTGTGCTGGGGTCAAGTGGGGGTCTCCACGGCTGCTGGAGGATCTCTGGGGGGCTTCAGGGGAGCGGGGGCGCAGCGGGCTTTCACCCACGCATCTCTCGCCACTCCCGCGTCTAACAGACCCTTAATGTGCATTAGCCTATTTTAATGAGTGTTTACTAAAAAGCATGTTTTTAGTGACACTTTACTGCACATTAAAATAGGCTAAAGCACATTAAAGTGCATATGTAGATGTTCCTACTGTGACTTAAAGCTGCCAAGATGGGTTCCACTTTTTCCTGCGGCTGCAAACAGCAAGGGCAGTCATGTTAACTTCACAGCTTCATTTGAGATGGTAGTTTTTGGCTGAAGAGCCACTGAATTGGCTGATGGTGACTGAGCTGCTTCATGAAGTTTGTAGTATCTTGAGGAGGCTTGTGATGTGGAAACAACACTTTATTATTTACAGGAACTTATATAAAGAACTATTTACAGTAAAGAGGTAACAGTCTTGCTACTACCTTTGCAAAGGTCTGTTCAGCCTTTTTGCTGTCCTAACACTTCACAAAGTTCCTCTTGGCCCACCCAGATTATCTCCTGGAATACTATACTTCCTAGGTACTCTGTTTCCAAGAGGACTAATTCTATGCCACACAGTCAGCGATGACTCTGGAAAAATCTTTTTTCCTACATTCTGCCTTTGAGAAACAAGGCAGTATCTTACAGTAAGATACAGTATCTTACTAGCTCAGCCACCAGTCAAAAAATCTTTTAAATACCTTTATAGTTCTAATGAAGGCCAGGAAGAGCCTATTTTCTGGGCTTTCTCAGTTTCTGATGAAGCCAATGAAAGAGCAAAAATATCTTTCTTATCCCTACAGGCAGTCAGCACCTATCAAGAGAGACCCAAAAAAATCTCATGAGGTCACAAGTGCAAAGTCCAGCACCTAGGACAGAACAATCCTATGCACCGATACAGGCTGGGGACCAACTCACTAATCAGCAGCTCTGTAGAAAAGGACTTGGGGGTTACAGTGAACAATAAGCTTAATATAAGCCAACAGTGTTATGAAGAAGGCTAACAGCTTATTGGTACGCATTAGTAGAAGTATTGCCAGAAGATCATGGGAACTGATTATTCTCCTCTATTTGGCACTGGTGAGGCCACATCTGGAGTACTGTGTCCAGTTTTGGGCCCTACAGGAAGGAGGTAGACAAATTGGAGAGTGTCCAGCAGGGGGCAACAACAATGGTTAGGGAGCTAAGGCACATGACTGATGAGGAGAGGCTGAGGGAACTGGGCTTTTTCAGTCTGGAGAAGTGAAGACTGAGGGGTGATTTAACAGCACCCATCAACTACCTGAAGGGTGCTTCCAAAGAGGATGGAACTTGACAGTTCTCAGTGGTGGCAGATGACAGAACAAGGAACAATAGTCTCAAGTTGCTGCAAGGGAAGTTTAGGTAGATATATGGAAAAACTGCCACGTGAAGGACAGCAAAGCACTGGAACAGGCTACGCAGAGTGGTTGTGGAATCTCCATCCTTGGAGGTTTTTAAGACTCAGTAGACAAAGCCTTGGCTGGGATGATCTCATTAGGGGCGCTTCTGCTTTGAGCAGAGAGTTGGACTAGATGACCTCTTGAGGTTCCTTCAAACTCTAATGTTCTATGAGTCTATGTTTCTATAACATTGGGCCCATCAGCCTGTTTGATCTACTATGGATTATAGGTTGATCTATTATTAGATCTAGTATTACATTACTGCTTCACAGCTAATACTGTGATACTTCACACACATTCTGGGGGAGATATTTCAGTCAGATTTCTTCATTTAATCAGTATGTAGGTACCTCTGGAAGTCAAATCCAACCCGCTGCCTAAAGCAGGATCATCCCTATCCTAACCATCCAAGTCCTTATCTAACCTATTACTAAAACTGCGCAGCCAACCATGCCACGCAACTGCAAAGCATGATACCTGAACCTGCCATAGATTAAGCAGAGAGACAATGGTGGCCAATGTCTTACTGCTGCAAGGGTTGTTAAAATATGCTCAAGGAAGAAGGCCACACCCACCACTACAAAGGACGGCAACCCCACCCCCTCATAATCTGCATCAATCTGACTATGGGGTAAGATCCTTTTCTGACCCCAAATGTGATTGCTCTGGCCCTGAGGAGATGGAAAAGACCCTCTAGCAAGGACCCTTTAGGATTTTAGGATATGTCCCAACAGGAACTCTGGCACAGTCCAGTCACAATCTTCAACCATGGCTGAAGGCAATACCCAATGTGTCTGAGAAAGGAAAGAAAAAAAACAAAAAAGCAACTCTGACACACAGCAACAGGAGTGGAGAAAAGTCCTTCCTGGCCTCATTCAGCAACCAGGAAATTGTGCCAGTCCCTGTTGTTAACCCAATGTAGTTGTGTCTACTTTTTCTCCCACCACCAGAGCAGAAGGAGAGTGTTATAATTAAAGTACTGGGCAGATGCTGAGTGGTCTATGTTTTGCTAATTGCTCTGCCAGAAACTTTCTGTGTGACCTGGACCAGTCACCTTGCTCTCCCTGTGCCCTAGTTCTCCATTTGTGATACAGGAATAACAATATTTCTACAACCCAGAAAATGAGGCTTTATGCATAAGCATTTGTAACTAGCTCAGATCTTGTAATAATAAATGTTAGAAGAAAACCTATACATAGATTAAAACAAACATAAAATGAAACTTTGCTATTTGAATACAATTTAAAAAGTTGGGGGGGCACCATTTTTCATTAATACTCTCAAGAGACTGTTTCTTTGGCATATCAGATATTGTTTGTGTCCATTCTATCTGATTTACCTAGGATGCATCTACACAAGATGCTAAATGCACAGTAGACAAATTCTACTGCGCATTAGCATATCATGGCAAAAGCCATGCTAATGCACTAATGCACAGTAGACTCAGTCTACTGCATATTAGCATAACTAAAAAGGTATTTGCAGTAGCGCCGGTTACTGTGCATCAGGCATGTCTATAGAAGACACTTAATGCCCATTGGACTACTTCTACTGCACATTTGGTGGCTGGCAGAAAGTATTCATGTGTGCTGATGCACAGTAGAATTAGTCCAATGGACATTAAGTGTCACCTTAAAAGCATTCATCTGTGCTAATGTACAGTAGTGCCGATTATGGCGCATTAAGTTAGCACCTGTTATTACAAGTACTAAACTTAATATGCTGTAATTACAGTGTATTAATTAATATGTAGATGTGCCCATTGAGCCACTATCTGTTATTACAGGTACTAAACTTAAAGCACAGTAACTATGGTGCATTAATGCATGTGTAGATGTAGTCTTAGAGTCCCTTCTCTTCTCTTCTCTTATAGCCAAAAGACCCATCAAGACACTGGGTTGGCAACTCCCCTGCCCACCTCCACCCGTATAAGGGGAACTCCAAAAGCTAGAAGGGAGCTCATAGGGGATGAATTATGGACATTCCGAGACAGCCAGGGCTTCTGTTTTGAAGAAGCTAGCTACACTCAAAAAACCAAAGGGTAAATCTGGGTGAAACACAAAGGAACATATGTGGGTCACCACTCACCTTCCCTTTCTGCACAGCAGCCAACAGGAAGTTTCACAGGCTGGTGAAATTATCATTCACTCAGCTCTACAACTTGGATCCTGTGAATTTTTTTTTCCTTATTTGCTGCATTCTCACTGGTCACCTTTCATCCGGTTCTGCCTCTTCCTTTTTCCTCCCATAATCCCTTTCTAGCATTCATCTCCCACATCTCCATCTACAATGAGTGCCTACCCCACTCAAAGAAAACCAACTAAAGCTTTGTTTTTATTACATGAACCCAATATATAATCAAATATATTAAAAAATAACAGAACTGTAGAACCAACAAGACATAAGTCTATCCTCACCCTGTATCCAAACACTGAGGTTTGAGTTTGGCTCAAGCATTTATGAAAATGCCAAATGTGGTTTTCAATAAATATAGTGTAATGGATTTATATCACCACCATAAACAGAATAAAGGTGCATTGTTTAAAGTTGCCTAGTGAATTAACTTTGTTCAGTGTAAAAGCTATGAAATAAATAGTTACAGAACACAACCCTGCAAACATATGCACATAGCATTAAGCAAGTGACTTTTCCCCAGCCAGGTGACTTTTGAGCTTAAATTTTAAGTCTGACCATATATGTTTTGACAATTGCAATCAAAATCTTCTAAATAAATCCCCTGCTGAAAAGTATGTAGCACTAGACCATATAGATGTTTGTAATATTCAAGCAAAAAACTGGCTAGACTTAAACTTCATAGATGAACTAAATGAGACATGTATACCATAAGATCTTGTAAGCAGCAGGTTTACCTCGTCAGATGCTGTGAAGGGACTGCCGGAAGCAAGGCTTTTGTCCTTGTGGATTTTGTTTTCCTTGTCTCGGGGTTGGTACCGTAACAGGTCAAAGTGGGGTCTGAGTCTGGCCCTGTTGATTTAAATAGTGACAGTTTTATGATTTTATTATAACTGTAGGAGCCCCTGCTCCAAATCCTTATGGTGAGCATCCCAGTCAGTGGGATTATAACAGATACAGTTGTAACATAAGGCTTGACTGTATACAATAGATCTAGCATAAGGTTAGGATGAGAGCTGCTGGCATGGAGGTAGCTGTAGCAGTTGGTTGGTTTCTAATACCTTGTGGTGGTGATATGGCCATTGCAAACTTCCACAGTAGTGTCCAAGAAATTAATTTGCTGGGAGGACTATTCCAGAATCATCTTGATGGAGGGCTGGAAGTTGTTAAAGTCTTGGCAGAATTTCTCTAGATATTCCTTCCCATTTTCCATACAATTAAGATATCATCAATGTACTTTGTGGGGGAGAGCATACATGTGCTCATGTCAGTGCCATTCATTTGTAGGTATAGGGAGTTCCCAAATCTGAAATAGTTGTGTACAAGGACAAAACAGGAGAGAATGATGGAAACAGAAGCAGTGGCCTCATCAGGGATAATGTTCTTTATGGCTTGTAATCCATCTTCATGGGGGAATGTTGGTGCACAGAGATGTAAAATCTGTGGTAGCTAACATGGTGGTAGCTAGAAGTTTGCCAATAGAGCCCAGTTTCTTTAGGAAATCTGTGGTATCTTTCAGTTAGCTGGCAGCTCTCACAGCCTGTGGAAATAGGATTGAGTCAACATAGCCAGAAACTCCCTCTGTGATCGTGACAGTTGCAGAGACAGTGGGATGTCTTGAGTTGCCAGGTTTGTGGATCTTGGTAAAAGTAAAAGATTCCTGGGCTGGTCTCCCAGGAGGAGGAAGCAGTACTCTCCTGTGTTTCCAGAGGTAGCATCTTTAAAAGTTTATCTAGTTCTTTCTGGTATTGTGCTGTGGGGTCTTTGGTTAGGAGTTTGTACAATTCTGTTTTGGAAAGTTCTCTCTCAGTTTTCTGTATGTATGTTTTTTTTGTCCATGACAAAAGTCACACCCCCTTTATCAATCTGTTTCATGGTGATATAATGTTGTTTCTAAGGCTTAGTATGGCGCTCTGTTCCACAGGACTGAAGTTGTAACTGAAACTTTGTTGTTTTTTTGGCAATCTCAGAGTGGGTGCAGAGGCAGAAATAGTTTTTGTCCAAGTCGAGTTGGGCTGCAACCCTCAGCTGGGGTCTAAGAGCTGTCCTTGCACTGTTTATGGTTCAGATCTGTGATAGTTGATCACTGTCTGGCTCCTTGTCATGGAAATATTCCCATAGTATTAGGCGGTGGAAAAAAGCCTTGAGGACTCCATAGAACTGCACCTCATTGAGTTCTATAGTGGCACCGAAAAACCACAGGATAGTACAGATTGAGGATGTAATTAGACAGATTGATAATATTGCCTTGGATTGGAGCATTGTTGTTGGAGCATGACAAATGGAAGCATTTTGCTTCCTTCATCTTCTTTAAGGAGTAAAGGTATTTGTGATAGGCTATAACAAGCGTCAATTTCCCCGAAGTCACTTGGAACCCTCTAGTGGCTCCCTGAGACCTGCTTAGGTACCTTGGCCACCCCACCAGTTGCCTCCCTCAGTCTCACCTGCCACAACTTTGATGTTACTAAAAACATTTGGGAGACTACTTTCCAATAACTGGAGCATAGCTTTAAGTGTCCTACTCTACACTGCATTGTTCACTGGGCTCTCTCTCACCTTGACTCAATCCATGGGCTCTTTTGCCCCCTGTTCAATACCTTGGAGTGGTCCCACACCTTCTGCACCATATCCCAAGCTCTCACAACCTCTGCACTGGCTTTTGGGACTCTAGTAGCCTGGTCACAGTCTGCTGGGATTCTGGCAGCCCACCAATTCAGCAATGTGGTCTAAGCCTCTCTGTGAGGCACCTTCGGTGGCCTCCTTTCCTTCCCTTCAGCTACTCCCACGCCTTGTGGTTTTTAAACCAGTCCACAGTGCAACAAAACGTGAAGATTTCCCAACTTTTCTTTAAGTAGATCCTCACAGTAGCTCCTTCCTATCAAGGCCTACAGACTACCTTGCCTCCTGGGTCCATGAACTCATGTTCCCCAGCTCCTGCACAGCTCCTATTCCCCAGAACACACTATGTCCTGCTTCTGCCAACCCCAGACCAAACACTGAGGCTCCAGCCCCTGGGTCTAGCTTATATGCATCTCTACTCTTCTTCTCCCTAGCCACCCGGACTGAGACTCCCTTAACTAGGATCGTTGGTTTCCTATTAGCCTAATTAACAGACCTGCTGCTATTCTTCATTGCAGTCCTGTCTCCTACAATAAATTGCTCAGGATTTAGCTCCTGCAGCTTGCCAATTTAACCCTTTGGTGACTGTAACTCCCTCAGTTCTGCTGCTTGATGCCACCTTCATGCAGGACTTGGGTAACGTCTCTGACAGCATTCTGGAGGCTGATTGCCACTTCTCCCAAAGCTCTGGGCCTAGCAGTGGACCCTCCACAGTCTGAAATTTGGATTATATTCCTCAGAGAGCCCTCCTGGAGGTACCAAGTCCCTCTCCAATCTTCCCCCTCTTAGTAACAGAGTAGGGGCCCTATTACATAGGATTAATGGCTAGATGCATAGGTCTCCTCTTGGTAAATAGCTATTATGTCCTGGTGATTCTGTACATTATTAGTTAGCTCTGCAAGTATAGTGTTGAACTGTTCCTGTTTGCTATACAGAATACTGATAAAGTGCTTCCACAATTTCTCAGATAGCTTGTCAGAATAGGCTATGGTATGTAGAGCAGAGTGGATTCGTCACTTGGAGTCCCTCGAGCATGATATTTATCTGTTTGCATCTGGTAAGAAGGTACCTGAGCATATCTGAGCAAGTTTCTGACTCCCACAATTACAATACACCCCTAAAACTGTCACCACTCAAATTAACAGAGCCAGACTCAGACCCTGCTCCAACTTATTACAATGCCAACTGTGAGGGAATAAAAACAGAATCCCTTTGGTTGTCTCCCACAAACCACAGCTTGAACCCTCAGACACATCATTAATGACTTCTAGGCCTTCCTGGAAAACCTCTCAAGGTAGCCATGGGAGACAAACCTGTCCTGGCTTACAGGCAGCTTCCCCCCAACTTCAAATGGCATCTCTCCAGCAACAAACTACCTAACTCCTATTCTTACCAAGGCACCAGACCTTGCTCTGAACCCAAATGCCAGCTGTGCCCCCTCATCAACACAATCACATCACCACTGGACCAAATTACGCTAATTATAACATGCTTAATTCACCTGGACCTCTACCTTCGTCAGATATGCCTTCATCTGCCTCCAGTGTCCCTATGCTGTCTGCACTGGACAGACAGGGTGCTCCCCACATGTGAGAACGAATGAATCCAACATAAATACCACAAACAGAAACAAACCTGTGCCAAAACATTTTAACCTTCCTGGACATCCCATCACTGACCTCAAAGTATCAGTTCATAGACAACAAAATGTTAAAGATTAAGTTGAATAGGGAATTGCAGAACAAGAAATCATCCATAGACTGGGTTGTATTATGTATGGTCTGAACAAAGACTATGGATTCTTACCCTGTTACCTGGATTAGCTTTTGTAAGCCCTATGTCCCTCTGTGGTTTAACTGCTTTTTTCTCTCTCCTATTCACCTTGCCCCTCTCATCAGTGTCTTCTCATTTTTCCTCCCCTTTCCCTAACCTTTGTATTCTAATCACCACTTTCTGTTTAGAAGATTTGCTTCCGGCACTCCCTTTGCAGCATCTGATGAAATAAACCCCCTGTTTATGAGGTCTTATGGTATACATTTCTGATTTTGTTAAGTCTATAAGATGCAAATCTACCCTGCTTTCTACCTGACATCAAATTAAAATGGCTAACTACCTCTCTCTGCAATATTTAAATCTCATGCTTCTATTCAGATATGTCACTTTACTTTTAATGTTTTAATTGTTTTAAAAGCAAACATTGAAAACAAATCAAATTCACAACAATTAAGTTAAATTATTATGAGATTTGCTTAAACCTCCAAAGGCAAGCAAGAAGAGTGTCAAGACAGAAAGTTCATCTTTAAGTCCCCTCTATTTTGGGTATCAGAGAAAGACATATTGCATAGATAGATAGATAGATAGATAGATATTGCTTACAGATATGGTCTGTTGGCTGCCAAGTGAAGTCTAGGTTGGCAATGGATCAGCATTCATGTTGCGCCAACCATCAGTACCTGGTCCACACCAGGGAAACTAATGCTGCTCCTAGCAAACCGAATTCTGTGAATTTATTGAGGACTCCCAGTGTCATTTTCACCGACCACACAGATGTTGTGCAATCCTATGGCTTTCGTGCCATTGGGCCAGCACTCCGAATCCTACAACTTAATGTTAAGGGTCTGTCAGCTGCCAAGCAGACAGATACATTCAAAGTCCAGGAAGTTTCATCCATGAATATGGGGCTTTTATCCCAAAATTCATTACAGTTGACAGCAATATTGTCTTTGGCTTTGGATTTGAATCAGGTGCTGAGAATGTACCTAGCCCTGTACAAAAAAAAAAGTTCAGATGACATTCATCCTCCAGGCCCCAAGGAGTTTATAGTCTGAATAGATCAATAATAAAAACACACAGGGCATGTCTACACGTTCAGTAATGCACCAAAATTACAGCTCATTAAGTTTAGTATCTGTAACAACAGGTACTAATTGAATGCACCATAATCGGGGCTACTGTGCAGTAGTGCCAGCACATGCTTTTTTTTTTAGATGCTAATGCACAGTAGACTAAGCACAGTATGCTAAGTAGTATAGCTGCGTCCACTGAGACACCCACTGGGAGTTTCATTCTTAAAGTAGCTCTACACTATAACAGGTGTGTAGCATAGGCATACCCAAGCTACTTTTAAACTAGTTGAGTACTGGTAACATTGCACTTAGGGAAGAAGAGCTCAGCATGGGCTGCAAACTCATTCTGCTCAGACCTCTGTGCTTCCATAGCTACACTACTAGCGC